AGAGAGAGAGAGAGAGAGAGAGAGAAACAGAGCGAGAGACCCCCGCGGGGCGGCGGGAAGGCCCGCCTGGTGCCGCCGATGTCGCCGCAGCCGCCCATGGAGGCGATGGAGGCGCCGCTCAACTTGGTGAGGGCCGCCAGGAGGGAGATCCAGCCGGCCCGGGGCTTCCCCGAGGGCTCCGTGGCCGGCCCGGGGTTGTAAACCCGGACCAGGAGCAACCAAGCACGGAGGGAGGGGCGGCCGGAGCTCCCGAGGGGCGGAAAGGCGGGGATTTAAGGTGTCTTCCTCCCGGGAAACGGGGCTCCGGGGCAGGCGGGGAGGTCGCGGGGTGGTGGGCGCGGAGCCTGGCCGGCCTTGACGTCGGGGCTGCCGGTCAGAAGAGGGTCCTGCTCAGGCGGCCGTCGAGACGCTGGGCAGTCAGGCGGCTCTCTTGGTGCCCCCCCCCCAGGGTCCCAGTGCCTCTGAGGGGAGGCCGCCTGACTCGGTGCCCACAGGATACTGCTGGGCCTATGGTGCCGCTGGGAGAGGTTCCTATCCGGGCAACCTCCTGGGAAGAATCCTGGCCCCCTTTTTGTGGTCTACTATGCTTGCCTGGGACGCTGAGCTTGTTGATCAGAAGGTCGGCAGTTCGAATCCCTAGTACGGCATAACTGAGCGAGCTCCCATTACTTGTCCCAGCTTCTGCCACCCTAGCAGTTCCATAGCATGTAAAAATGCAAGTAGAAAAATAGGAACCCTTCCCAATGGGAAGGGAACAGCGTTCCCTGCGCCTTCGACGTTGAGTTATGCCATTCACATGACCACAGAGATGTCTTTGGACAGTGCTGGCTCTTCGGTTTTGAAACGGAGATGAGCCACCGCCCCCCAGAGTTGGGAACAACTAGCATGTGTAAGGGAACCTTTACTTTTACCAGATGATGAAGGGGAGATATGTCGACAAAGTTGTTTCTTTCTTTTCTTGGTTGGGGATTGGCTCATTGTCCGGCTATCAAGTTTTGTGATCCCTTTGTGGAAATGGACGGAGCCCTTGAGAGTCTAAATTTTGGTCCTCCTGATGGGGTCGACCTGCAGCCCTCCTGGCTGATTTCATGGCGGATGGGATGGGTCTGGGCAGGGCAAAGCGTCCTTTCCTGTCCTTCCATCTCTGAGGAAGGCAGAGAGGCTTCTTGTAATGTTGCCCGCAGCAGCAGCGATGCAGGCCTTGATCACCCATCGTCCAGTTGGAGTGTTGTGATCGGTCTCCGGGAGGACCTTTGGAGATGACACAGAAAAGCCACATCTTGAGGCAGAAATGCAGTGGTCAGATGCCCATTGGGGTCACAGTGCAGGTGGTTCTCACTAGTTACGGTTTGACTCTACAATGGACCTCAAAAGGTTCTTACCATCCAATTCCAGAGCTCATACACGACACTTGTGATCGCATGGCTGCCATTTCAGGCGCCTGGCAACCCGACTTCCCTTTATGGCCAGTTGCAACGTTCTTCGGTTGCATGATAAGCAGCTAAGTAATAAAACTGCTCCCCATAGGAACACATTGACTTGCTTAACAACCAGGGTGTTTGCTTAATGAGCGCTGCAATAAAGATTGTAAAATCAGGTTGGTTGTGTGGGGGCCTCAACAGCCATCATAACCTATGATGGAAATTCAGTTGGGGACCATCTGTAAGATCTGTCTTAACCTATTTTGGGGATAAATTTTAGGTGTTGAAGGGGGGGTTATTGTGCTTTAGGAACCCAGAGAACTGTTTATAAGCAAACATTTAAATTATGTTTTAAGTTAACAAATTAAAATATTTTGGAGCAATAATCTTGCATGAATAGAGAACATGGGGTGTGAATGATGTCAGTTTAGAGGCCCAGCCCAGGTTTTTTATTTATTTATTTAGTTTGCCAAACATGTAAAAAAATAACAGGTATAAGCATAAATATAAATATGAACACAGTCAATGGGTACGAATAAATGGGGACATTAGGACAGGGACGGTAGGCACACTGGTGTGCTTATGCACACCCCCTTACAGACTTCTTAGGAATGGGGTGAGGTCAACAGTAGACAGTCTTACGGTTAAAATTATGTGGGTTTGAGGATGTTACAACAGAGTCAGGTAGAGCATTCCAGGCATTGACCACTCTGTTGCTGAAATAATATTTTTTGCAATTGAATTTGGAGCAGTTTACGTTAAGTTTGTATCTGTTGTTTGTCCATGTATTATGGTTGAAGCTGAAGTAGCCGTTGACAGGTAGGACATTTTAGCAGACAATTTTGTGTATTACACTTAGGTCAGATCGTAGGCGGTGTAGCTTGTTGTGAGTGTAGGACTCTTGTGAAATATCTCTGGAGTCTCTGGATGAGATGTTCCTATTTCACAAGGGTTCTCTGTGTGTGTGTCTCCTTTTGCTTTTCTTGTTTTATTTTGCTTCTCCTGCCTTGTGAGCCACTTTGCAAGTTCTCTTAGCTTTGTGCCCAGACAGTGGACATCTGGGCAGGTAAATGTTTTAGCTTCCTTGGTAGAAAGCAATTCACGTACATGTCATCCCACGGGGGTCAGTTAATCTGCAAATCTCTCTTGTTAGAGGCATTCAAGCAGCGGCATCCCCTCCAGGTGTTTTAAAGGTTTGGCTTTTTCTAGGCTCATCAGCAGAGCAGAAAAGCTGACCATTTGCTGGCTGCGGGGAAGTACGAAGAAGCCGTTTCATGTCACCGAAAGGCAGCAGGTGAGCGATGGTGGGTGTTTGTTTGAACCCCCATCCCCAGGCATCCCTATTAGGACGGAAGCTAAGTCAGTGCAAAAGGTGCGGTAAGTAGGCGAGATCCTTGCTGGTCAGGGATAAGGATCACAGTGAAAGGTTGGGTGGTGGTGAAAGCATCAGGCTAGAAACCAGGAGACTGGGACTTCTAGTCCTGCCTTTGGGTTGGATGGTGGCTGGATGACTGGTCAGTTGCTCTCTCTCTCACCTCATGGATTGGTTGTTTTTGGAAAATAAGAGGAGGAAGGAGTATTAGCTGTGTTTTCCGGTTTGGGTTATTTATCAAAATAATAAAGGTGGGATATAAATGATATAAATGAAAAGGGACATGAAAAAGTGAGCCCCCATTACTTGTCCCAGCTTCTGCCAACCTAGCAGTTCAAAAGCATGGAAAAATGCAAGTAGAAAAATAGGAACCACCTTTGGTGGGAAGGGAACAGCGTTCCGTGTGTCTTCGCTGTTTAGCCATGCCGGCCACATGACCACGGAGATGTCTTCGGACAGCACTGGCTCTTCGGCTTTGAAATGGAGATGAGCATCACCCCCTAGTGTCGGAAAGGGGAACCTTTACCTTTTTATCCATGAAAAAATAAGTATGTCATCGGAACCGGAATCACAGTTCTTACAGGGAGTCAACAGTTCAGTCCATTGTCCTAACACTCCCAGTTCAGAGCGTGAAGGTCTCCTTGCAATGCTGCTTTTAAAGGGGTGGCAGAAAGCAGTTTGGCTGCCAAGTTGTACTTCACGTACAGCTTGAAGATTCACGTTTGGAAATAAAAGTGATTTTCCAGGCACTTGTCAAAAGTTGTCATGGGGGGTGGGGGGAGGCTCCTTTTAAAAGAAGAAGGCACCTCCTGTCCTCCCTTGGGCGTTCTCTCTGTGTCAAGGGGCTGCAGAAGCCCTGCCCGACCGAGGTCACCCAGTACAGCTGCCCAAAGCGGCCTCTCTAAACTCTTGTCACTATTTTGTGTGTTTTGCAGCGTATCTTCTGGAAGCTATGAAGTTGACTCAATCAGATCAGGTGAGGTTTCCCTCCACAATGGTTGTTCTAGCAGTGAACCGTTCTAGGGGTGACTGTGATCCCAACCCGGAACCTGGGTGGCAGCTGACCCTTTTATGTGTGTGCGTGGGGGGGGGCAGGACATAGTAAGTGGGAAATGAAAAAGAAATGGCACAATCTGAAAGGAATTCTTGTCCAAACTGTCCAGCGAAAAGCCAGATTAGTCCTTGACTTTTGACCTCATTTGGGACCAGAACTTCCACTGCTAAACGATGCAGCCATTATGCAAGTTGTGCCAATTTTACAGCCTTTCCCCCCTTGAAGTTGTTAAACAAATCACCATGCTTGTTGAGAGAATCTCGGCTTCCTCCGTTGACTTTGCTTGTTGGAATTCAGCTGGGAAGATCACCTGTGGTGATCATGTAACTCCAGGACCCTGTAACCATTTTAAATACATACTGCTTGGCAAGTGTCTGAGGGTTGATCGTGACCGCAGTGGTCGTAACTGTGAGGACTGGTCATAAGTCACATTTTCAGCATTGCTGTAACCTTGAATAATTGCTAAATGGATGGTTGAAAGTCAAGGACTAATTTGGGTGAGCTTAGCACTTAGAAAAGAACAGATATTGGGAGGGTGAGGGTGGTTATGGCTTGTATGCCTCGCATATTTATTGCTATATCAATAGCCAGTTTGATCTAATGGGTAAAGCACCAGGCTAGAAAACCAAAGATCGTGAGTTCGAGTCCTGCCTTAGCTATGAAAGCTAGGGGACCTTCAGCCAGTCACTCCCTCTCAGCTCCAACTCACAGGTCTGTGGTGATTGTTGTGGGGAAAATTGAAGGAGGAAGGTGTGTTGGGGCTGTTCGGCACCTTCAGTTGCGTGTAAAAAATAATAAAGGTAGCACACAAAGGAAGAAATAACTAAATTCAGTAGAAAAGTACCAAAGAGAAGCTGCAATGCATCCATATACGATGATTTGTCTCCTGTCTTGGTTTTTTTGCACAAAATGTGACTATCTTGGGAGGAGGGAAGAATGGCTGCACCTGGGAGAAGGGCTTCACAAGCCAGTTACTACCCTGTTTCTCTGAAAATAAGACATCCCCTGAAAATATTTAACCGCATTCATAGCCGGTCCCCTCCATTTCCTTTGGTGGCTTGCTGCACAAATAACACGAGGTTAGACGAAGCCGGAGGGGGTGGAAGGGAGGGGGGAACATGCCCCATGCGCCCCACATGCCCTTACCTAACGGCCGCTCCCACAACCCTAGCCCCCACAACCCTAGCCCCCACGCCCCTTCTGTCACGCCAACGGCCGCCGCAAAAAGAGCAGCAGGTTCAGCGATGTGCAACACAGCAGCAGCTATGAGGTGACCACGCTCGCCGCCTCCTGCACCTCAAAAATAATAAGACCTCCCCGAAAATAAGACCAGGCGCTTATTTTGGGGTTCAAAAGAAAATAAGACCCTGTCTTATTTTGGGAGAAGCACAGTAGCAATTGGTACCCTGCCGAAGTGGGTCAGTTGGTTTTCTACCCAAGCGCAAATATTCCACACCATCTACAGTCTTGTGCAGGAACTGGGCAGCCATCAGGGGGAAAGAAGGTCACTGCTCAGCCACATCAGGCAGTGGGGCTCTTCATTCCTATGGAACTCGCCATCTGCGTCGGTGGCAGCTTCTCCAGGAAGGAAGACCAGCCTTTCTTAGCTGCAGTCTGGAGGGAAAGTCTGGGGTGGGGAGGGCTGACCTGATGCCTTGTCATTGCTTGCTTGGCATAAAGATGAACTTTGTTTTAGGAAAAAAGGGGACAGAAGTCAGATTTATGATTTAACAAACTCTTTATGCATAGAAAAAGTTTGGTTCTAACTCAGAATAGAATAGAGTAGAATAAGAATAGGATAGAATAGAATTCTTTATTGGCTAAGTGTGTTTGGACACACAAGGAATTTGCCTTAGGTGCATAAGACAAGAAACAATAGTGAAGAATCATAAGATGCAACACTTAATGATAGTCATAGGGTCCAAATGAGCAATCAGGAAACGTAAGGATACAAGCAACGAAGTTGCAGTCATAAGTGGGAGGAGATAGGTAACAGGAATGATGAGAAGATTAATAGTAATAGTAATGGAGCCTTAGTGAATGGTTTAATAGTGTTGAGGGCATTATTTGTTTAGCAGAGTGATGGTGTTTGGGGAAAACTGTCCTTGTATCTAGTTATTGTGGTGCACAGTGCCCTATAACGTCGTTTTTAGAAGAGATGTTTACACAATTTATGTCCAGGATATGAGGAGTCTGCAGATATTTTCATGGCCCCCTTTTTGACTCGTGCAGTGTACAGGTCCTCAATGGAAGGCAGGTCTAACTCAGGGTCTAACTTAGCTCAACATTGTGGAAGAAAAGAGTTTGTTTTTCTGATTAAAAGCAATGGCTTTGTTCTTAACAATTCAGACAACAGAGCAGATGTATTGATGTTTCATGCCCAACTGGCTTCTAAAACTGGGCCCACTGGTGGGAGCTCTAGGACTTGTGGTTCTTTGGATGCCAAAACTCATTTTATTCCCTGAGAGGCTGATCAAGAAGACTTATCCTTTTTGTTCCTTGGCAGGCCCAGTTATCCCTGGAGTTGCAAAGGAAGAGCCACCTGAAACAGATTCCCCTTATCCAAGAGCGATGGAAAAGGACGCAAAGGGACGAAAGGTTGAAAGTGCGCCCTCTTGTGGACAAAGAGAGCGTGGCCCACCTGCAGAGCTCTTCTAAGTCCTCAGCGGAGGACCCCGAGGACCAGCATGGAACGCCGGCCAGCCTCAAGTACAGGGCCCCCTTGGAGAAGGAGATGAAGGGCTTCCAGGGGGTCTTGGACAGGGATCCGGACACTCTGCTCTTTCTGCTTCAGAAGAGGAAGGAGCCTTCCCCCGATGCCTGCGTGAAGAGCAGGCCTCCAAAGGACGACAAGATGAAAATGGAGGAGCAGGCCACCAAAATCGCAGTCCTGGAGCAGCACGTGGAGATGCTGTTTGCTGACAATGAGAGGCTGAGGCGGGAGAACCGGCAGCTAAAAGCGGAGCGAGCCAGGCTGCTGAAGTCCCCACTGGAAAAGGAGCTGGATGCAGATGCTGACTTTGTGGAGAAGTCAGAGCTGTGGGGCCTCCAGCAGCTTCCGGAATCTGCTGCCGCCTCCGCCGCCACCACCACCACCCCCTGGCAGAAATTGGCTGTCAGTGCTGGGAAGGGCAAGGACATTCCCATCCCCAGCCTTCCCCCCTTGGACATTCCCTCCCCGGAGTTCCCACTGGTGGAACTCTCTGAAGATCTCTTGAAGGGGTTCATGAACAACTAAGGGAGGACCACCACTGGGTGGTGGATTTGTCCTGGACTTTGGGGAGTGGACGCTGCTGGAACATCCATAACTGAAGGGAGAAATCCTTGTGACTTGGTCACTGAAAAAAAAAAGCTTGATGTTATGAATTGGTGAAGCAAAGGCATTTACCATCGTTGGTAAAAACTAAGCTCTCCTTGTTCTTTCTTCAAGCCAAAGGCCGGAAGGAGGGAGTCTTGACCCTCCCTCCTGCAGGGCTCCCTCGAGTATTCTTTGGATGCAAACGGATCTCTTATGCCATAAAATAAGGTGAATCCTGTGTGGCACATGGTAACAATTTTGGTAGTGCAAGACACTTTCTATCATGCATTGGATTGCCGTTTTCTTTTAATCATGCACAGACACTAGTAAGCGATTCTTGTTTCCCTTCCTTCGTAGGACGGATCTGTGTGCCACACTTTGCACCCCTAGCTTAATGCATAACATCGGCCAATCAGGAGTAAAGCTAAATTTCCAGATATTTTTAAGGACCCAAATTTAATTCTTCTGAAATATTTTGATTTGTTTACATAATCAGGGTGCTTCGTAATGTGTTTTCTGCATATGGAACAAGCATTGCTCTAAACAATTAGATAAGAATACTTGTTGGTGCATGATAGGAAGGCATAGCTGAGAAAGAATAAAATGTTACAGGTCTAACTTGAATCATGTGTTTGTTTTCTTTTTAACATGCCAGTATTGAGTTTCGGAATTCCAATACTGAATGCAACAGTAGCCTGCCTTTATAGGATGTTTAAAGATTTTAACAGACATCATTTTGATCAAAATCTTGTTTGAGATCTATTATTCCAAGATGACAAAGATTGAATCAGGCACCCATTAAAGCTCTCCAGACCAGGATTTTATTCTGAACTAGCTGATAACCCAGCGTTGTCTGGGTATTTATTTATAGGAGGGAAATGTCCAGACCAAATTAATTTTTAACGTTGGATTTTTCCCCTTACTAGAGGGAGCCCCCTTGTGGAGGATTGTGAAGCTGTTACCATGGCAATTCCACTGTGCTGTACAGGAGAAGCCATTTTAAGGCACAACAGGCTGTATCTTAACAGAACACACACCCTAAGGGTTGTTAGGAGTGTCTCCCCCCCTCCCCATCCACAGTATTTGTTTCCATAGAGTAAGTCATCTGTGTACCAACTTTGGTTGAAATTGCTCAAGGCGTTCCAGAGTTATGCTAGAACACACACAGCCATTTTTATATATGATTGATAGATAGATACCAGATACATAGATAGATCAATAGATAGATAGTAAGATACCATATAGATAGACAGACAGATAGATACCAAATTGATAGATAGATTAGAAAGAAAGAAAGAAAAAGATAGAAAGAAAAATAAGAAAATATCAGGTCATTGAAGTCTCCTTTCTCTTTCTCAGTATTTGTCATTTGATCTACATTTTGTCCTTCAGTTTTCCCCCATAGCGTCAGCACTGATACATCCAGCAAGTAGAGAGAACCGATTGCACCCAAATCATCCAGTAAACTGTTAACCATCTCTCTGTTCTAGTTCAACACCAAATTATTTTCTGGGTAAAAAACGTGCAGCCCTGCAGAGAAAATGTACTTTTAAAAGAAATGTTTTAAATGCAGTGGGACAACAAAAAACTTTGGGTCCATAAGAAAAATTTCATTTTGAACCATTTTGAGCATTCGGGAAGCTTATCACCAAAGCATAAGATCCTGTTCCAGATGCTCAAACGGGGGTGTCCAAACTTGGGAACTTTTAAGACTTGTGGACTTCAACTCCCAGAATTCCCCAGTTGAAGTCCACAAGTCTTAAAAGTTCCCACGTTTCGACTTTCATGTTCAAAACAGGAAGCTTTTATTTGCCATTTTGTGAAATTTCAGTCAGAATGAAATCCTTTTACATGCTTTTGGAAAAAAATGTTCGTTATAGCTGTCTGTCTCTGTATGGGTGATGATGCGGTCAAAATATTCACTTGCCTAATAATTGTGTTACCTTCTCTGCATGGCTGCCGGCTTCTGCCTCGATATCGACCTTCCCAACATGGCCGACTTCCTGTCTTCTCTCCCACGCTTTCCTCACTTCCTTTCACAGCGACCGTCCCATCATGGTGGACTTCCGCTGCCGCTCCCCTAGTGCCTGGTTGGAGGGGGAGACCTTCTCGTCATGGCCGACTTCCTGTCAGTTCTCCTTAGCCGTAATCCCAACTTTCTTATGCAGAAACCTAGGCATGGCCGACTTCCTGTCCGATCTCCGCGCCCGTCTCCCATGCCATTGAAAACGTCCTTCTAGTCATGGCCGACTTCCTGTCCGTCCATCGCTGTCGTTCCTCCAACGTCCTTTCACAGCGACCTTCCAGGCATGGCGGATTTCCTGTCAGACCTCCGCGGCGGCCCCCTAAGGCCTTTAGAAAACGACTTTTCCAGCATGGCCAACTTCCTGCCAGTCCGTTTTTATCCTTGTCCTCCGCTTCCGGTCTATTTGCAGCATGGTGCCCTGCTCCCCACCCCTCATTTCTGCGCTACATTGCCGGAGTGCAGGTCTAGCAACAAGCCTGGCGGTGCCGCAAGTGAGCCAGATCAGCCCCGCATTTCCTGACTCCTGAGCAGTCGTGGTCGAAATAGTCCCTGAAGTGTGTGGTAGAGACAAAGATAGAGGTTATTTTCATTTCCTATTTATCCCTCCCCCGCCCCGCCCCCGATACCACTCATTTGCTTATCGCCCATAACTTTGACTGCCCGCTTTTTCCCTGGCCTTTCTGTAAGGAACCGGTGATGACCAGAAGGTTGGGAAGCCGGGTCTCTTTGCACTCCCCCCACCCCCCTTTCAGCTTTAAGAAAAACGACGGGCCAAACGGGGAACGTAGAGATAGAGTTCGTTTATTTCAATCTACACTTCAGGGTTCTTTCTTTGGGGTGGGCTCAGCCTTCTGCCGTACTACAAAGCCCCTCGGGCTCCTTTTGAGCCGTGGCGGGCAGAGCAACCATTCATGAGATTCCTGCTGTCTGATGTGCGTCTTCTGGTGGGCTGCCAAGCAACGCAGCTGTTGTTTCCCCAGCCCTGGGATTTGGGGATGTAGCAGAAGATACCACTTTATAAAGCCTTGGTAAGACTATACCTGCAATACTGCATCCAGTTTGGGTCACCACATTACGAAAAGGATGTTGGAACTTTGGAAAAAGTGCAAAGAAGAGCAAATAAGATGATTAAAGGCCTGGAGACTAAAAGATATGAAGAAGGGCTGCAGGATTTAGGTTTGGCTATTCTAAAGAATAGAATTAGGGTGACATGATAGCAGTATTCCAGTATTTGAGGGGCTGCCACAAAGAAGAGGGGGGGGTTCAATTTATTTTCCAAAGCACTGAAAGGCAGTACAAGAAACAAAGTGGAAACGAACCAGAGAGAAGCAACCTAGAATTAAGGAGAAACTTATTAAAATGAGAACAATTAACCATTGGAACAACTTGCCACCAGAAGTCATGGCTATTTCATCACTGGAGGTTTTTAAGAAGAGACTGGATAGCCACGTGTCTGAAATGGTATAGGTTCTCTGCTTAAGCAGGGGGCTGGACTAGAAGACCTCCAAAGTCCCTTCCAGTTGTACTCTGATTCTGATGGTGTTCCTATTGTGCTTCTTCTCTCTGTTAGATCTTAAGGAGGTGTTGTTCAAAGATAGTTCTCAGGTCCTGCTGAAACCTGTTGAGGCCAAGATGTTTTGATTTAACAATATTTTGATTTTAGATGAACTGCTGTTTCTTTAATGATTTGACATACATTAAATATTAATGGGGTATTGAATATCCTGCATTTATATTTTCATTTGAAAGCCTGCCTATGGGAGAAATTACATCCAGTGGCTGCTGTTTTCATGATTTTCCTGAAAAGCCTTAATGGTTCAGGGGTGGCAGCTACAGATTGTGCAATTGTAACACAAGGTTACACAACTGTAGGGACGTGGTGGCTCAGGGGCTAAGACGCTGAGCTTGTCAATCAGAAAGGTTGGCAGTTAGGTGGTTCGAATCCCTAGTTGCGCGTAATGGAGTGAGCTCCCATTACTTGTCCCAGCTTCTGCCAACCTAGCAGTTTGAAATCATGTAAACATGCAAGTAGAAAAATAGGGACCACCTTTGGTGGGAAGGTAATAGTATTCCATGCGCCTTTGCCATTTAGTCATGCTGGCTACATGATCCCGGAGAAGGCTTCAGCGCTGGCTCTTCAGCTTTGAAACAGAGATGAGCATCGCCCCCTAGAGTCAGGAACAACTAACACATATGTGCGAGGGGAACTTTACCTTTACCTTAATACAATGTATGAGCCAATCCCGAAATAGCCGTTTCCCAGTTATATCTGTGTTGAATGAGAAGATTGTCGTCTTACAGAACTGGTAAAACATGGCTTTTAAAGAAAACCCAGGAAGTGGGTCGAGTCACCTTGAACAGTATTTGGGGAATGATTTTATGAATGACCTTGGTTATTGTACATTTGTCATTTTATTGTAAGGTAATTTTATTTTAATTCTTGTATTATAAGAAGCTGGTGTCCGTTCTTCAGGCTCACAAAGTAGGATCTAAGCCCCAGTAAGAAGTTGACCAGGCATCCTTTTATATTTTACAGGCAGGTGTGATCCCAGCTGACCAAAGTACTCCGCATTGGTCTTGGGTCGGTCCTGACCAGGAACCAGCCAGTCGGAAGGGTGGCGTCTCTGAAATTGAGTTTTCTCCCTCTCTATGGCTGCCGGGAGCTGAGAGGACATTGTCCAGAGAAAGACGTTCCTGATTTTTGCTTATTTGTGTGGTCTTAGCCATCGGCCCATGTGGAAGGACTGGTTCCACCACAAAACCGCGATGCCCTTATCCGCGCCGACATAAGTGCAGGGGCAAATCCGCGGCGTCCGAAG